AAATTTAAGTAATAACCATCCATGTCTTCTTGGGTCGAAACATTTCATGGACTCCACCGCGCTGCCCTATTTATTACAGAACGTAATAAGGTCCTTGCGATTGTATGTCCTACCGCTGGCTGCTGCTCGTCCTACACGAGTTGTACTTCTCGTCGTTGTTGACGATGTACTGACATGGCAAACCCCACGGACGGCCTTTCGTGCCAGTCGGTTCTGGAAGACTTGGCTACCCCTCTGATATGGGTGAAGAACACGAGTCCACACACTGACCCCAATCTGTACAATCACCCGACAGACAAACTCTCAACAGAGGCGCGGCAGGGACAAGAAGAACGGATCTCAACAGAATCCAGGCCCCTCCTATCAAACGAACATACCCGAACATGGCAAGCAGCTCAGCGCAGCCCTCCGCTTTTTGCTTGTACCAGGGAGTTGCGAGCCTCTGTGGCTGAGGGAACGAGGCTGCAGCGAGGCAAATCAAGTAGCTGAGATACAGTAGGCGACTAGACTGCGCTTCGGCTGTAGCTGGCAGAGCAGCATGCAGAAGAAACAACGTGATTGATTCGGAATGCAGGGCTGGTCAGTGATCGGCATTCTAAGCAACCTTCAAAGAGCTTCCCGCGAACCGAATTTCAACAAGGAACGGATCTGTGCAGCCACATGTTTGGCCGCACATGAGCCGCACCATCCGTGCCTGCGCAAACAACGCAGATATCCCGCAACCAAGGAAGCTTCATCTGCTCTTGTCCGACAGCATTCATCCGCATTCCTAACCCCACTGCAAAGATGCTTACCCCTTTGCATTCCAGGCCTCTGGATAATAGCATGTATGGCGCAGCCTGAGCTGAGGATCAAGACAATGCAAAAGCCCCGCCCGGCTTCGGAAGAGTCATCACAGGTTCAAGGACAAACAACAACAGCAGCAGCAGCAACAACAACAACAACTTCACCAGCAACAAGAACAACAATAATAACAATAATAGTAATGCGACCAATGACAACAACAAGAACAAGAAGAAGAAGAAGAATACTTGCAGAAACTTACAATAACACAAGAACGGGAACAATAACCACAACCGCAACCGCAACAACAACAACAACAACAATAACTACTACTAC